GGGGGGGCCCCCCCTCGGTCCGTGCCGCCAGGGCGGTGTGTGTGTGTGTGCGTGTTTCCTTGCCGGGCCCCGGTTACAAGCTAAATGGCTGACTCCGAAAAGAGACTGTTTCGACCCAGATCCCTCTCTCGTCGTTTTTTGATTCATCGCTGACACGACTTGGTGGCCACTCCCCTCCGCACACACACACACACACGCACACACACACACACACCCCTCGGCACCAGCCGCCACATCAAACCCCCAGCAGGTTACAGACATTGGCCACGGCAGGAAAAAAATCCAGGCAAACACACGGCGGAGAACCGGGGGCCATCCCCAGGGTGAAGCCGTGCCCTGTAAAACCCGCTCCGGCCCACGCCGGCAGCTACACCGGGAAGGGGAGGGGAAGCTGCCACGAATTTCTCCAAAAACGTGACGGGTCTGCGCTGAAAATATAGGGTCCGGAGCGGAGCCCCTGCCCCGGGCCGGAGTGTTGGGGAGGGAGGGTCGGGTGTGGAAGCAGCGGGGCGCAGAGCATCCCTCCCCTCCCAGGGGCGGCCTGGTCCTCGGTGCCCGCCGCACAGGGTGCCCCCGACCCAAAGCCGCCCCAAACCCCACCAATAATTATTAAAAAATAATCCAAACCAAACCAAAACAAAAGCAGACAGACGAGGGTCCCGCCCGGTTAAACGACAGTGGGATTCCTCTTGAACTAGGTCGCTTGTGCTTTGCCGTGGCCCCGACCTCCCCCCGCCCCCCCGCTTTCAAAGACAAGGGTGTGCAGCAATTTGCAATGCAGCAGGACCGCAGGAGCCATCCGTACCGGATCGTGTTCCCCGCCGCCCCGAAACCCGTCCCCCGTCCTCTCAGCCCGCCTGCCCTTTAGCTGCGCCTGGTCCACCCCTCCTGTCCCTGGAAGTCCTCCCCCGAGACTCGGTCCCCTCGCCCCCTTCCCATCACCTCCCAAAATGTCAGGGATTTCGGACAGCTCCAATCCCCTCTGCCCAAATAAATAGATAAATTAATAATTTCCCCCTTTTTGTTTTGTTTTGTTTTGTTTTAAGCCCCTGTCCATAGACATTTTGGGAAAGAGCTGAACATCCATTTCACACGAGCCGTTAACGGGGACGGGGCAAAGGCAAATGGCCCTTCGCAAACCTCACACCGACAACCAGAAGCTAATTTCGGGGGGGTTGGTGGTGGTGGTAAGGTTACCCGAAATACCGAAGGAGGAGCAGAGAGGAGAAAAGCCCTCCACGAGCTTCAAAGCCGTCCGCTCCCAGGGCACCGCAAAGCGACCGCACCGCCACCATCTCCGCGGTGTGCAGCAGTATTTGGGGGTAACTTTCCGAATTGACTGCTCATGGTCACGCCAGCCCGGGGACGGCGATTCCCAGCGGATCTAGCTACCTTTGGAAATTTCACAGTCGGTAAAATCCTCCTCCCTCGGCTGAATCAAATAAACACAAATGAAAGAAAATCCTCCACCTCCAAACGAACCAACAAACAAAAAATGCAAGGGCTGAAATTAAAGGATAACATCCAAATAATGCTTTCCCCCTTCTTTCTCTGACAGTACAGAAAATGGCCTTCTGAAGAGTTCAGCCTCATTTAAAATGGAATGGTAATACGAATGGAGGGGTTTGCATCGTATATCCACATCTTCCAGAGGTCAACATTTCATCGCAATTTTTTTTTTTTTCTTTTCTCGATGAGGAAATGGTCAAGGCATTTTGCCTCCTTGTTTCCTCTCTTTTTTTTTTTTTTTTCTTTCTTTTGGTACCCACAAAATGCTGCAGAGATTGTCTGGAGAGGAGGGTGACCGAGCAAAAGGATCTCTAAATAGAAACGCCGAGCATTTTTTTTTATTGTAGCAGAATTCTTCTGCAGGCAAATATTTTCAAAGGTCTCTTCACACCTGATAATTTGTTTTAACCGCGTTTTAAACGCTTTTAAATCGCCCTTTCCTTGAAGCCCAGTTTTGGGTCCTGCTCGGGAATATACATATTCAATATATAATATTTAGAATTTGCCTGTACAGGACCAAAGTGGTCAATAACTTGGAGATTGTTTAATGTCTGTAACTCAAAAAAATTTCAGCGAAGAAATGTTGAATAAAATGAACCTGAGAGCAAATCAACAAAAAGAACCAGCGAAAACCTCAAGATATTGAACAAAACCAGCCACGAGCACACAAAAACACATACCGGCGTGGAGGGAAACCTGTTCTATTTTAAGTAACTTAGCATACATAGAAATTTTTTGGACCCGCTCGTTTTTTGACGGCGGTTCTCGGAGCACAAAATTAGCGATCGGGCGGTGGGACTTGGCGATTTAAAAATAATTTTCATTTGTTTAATCCCCACTTTCGGGTGGATTTTTTTTTTTTTAAAGTTAGGTTTTGTTTGCTTTTAGGCTGCTCTGCAAATGGGAAAGCCTCCAAGTTCCCAAAGGGAGCCTTTCGCTTGTCCCCCTGATTTTCCTCAAAAAAACTTTCCAGCTAGATCTTTCGCAAGTAATTTTTGGCCGGTCCTTATTTCTCTGTCCCTCGAGGAGGGGGGTGGAATTCTTGGCACTGGAGTCCCCAAATTGTCGGTGGAAAGGAATGCAGGGGATATCCGAAAAGCAGGTATAAATACAGCCGTTCGTGGGGACGGAGAGAACAGGAGGGGTAAAAAAGAGGAAGAATAAAAAGGGGGGGGGGGAAGAGGAAGTATGAACGAGCATGCACTGATTTAGGAAAACAAACAACAAAAGTGATTTAAGAAGAATAAGAAATCGACTCCCTTTCCTGCGGACCCCCCTGCCGTGAGAGCGTGAAGAACCGCGAGTCTGCCGCCGGGAAGGAGGCAGAGGGAGCGGGGAGCGGGGGTCTCCCCGCCGCCCCAAACCGCGGCAGTCAGCGCAGGTTATTTCGACATTCCGCTTCTGCATGCATCAGCCGGGCTTTGGTGCACACAACTTGGTACCGAATCTGGCAGTCCACTTACCTATCTGTACAGCAAGGATCAGAGAAATATATCTGCCGTTCAACTTAAGTCCCATCCTACATTTAGTAAAACCATTTGCGGCTGCAGATCTTTAAATAGTTACTTTGGAGAACGTGGGGGAAAGCTGAAAAATAGGCATTGCCAACAAGTTCCGAGCAGCGGAGGACTTTGCAGACAAGAGGGGGGAGACAGGAGGAGAAGGAGAGAAAGAGGGAGGCAGAGGGAGCGGGCGCGGAGGACTAGCTGGGAATGGTTCGCTCCATTAGGAGGGGGCGGAGGAAGAACAGCCTCACGCCCACCGCCGGCCCTGACGCGGGGGGATGACACGGACCGGGGTTTTTTCCCCCCTTCTTCTTCTTCTTCTTCTTTTTTTTTTTTTTTTTTTTTAAAAAA